CTGTAGGTTTATCAAACTGTAGGTTTATCAAACTGTAGGTTTATCAAACTGTAGGTTTATCAAACTGTAGGTTTATCAAACTGTAGGTTTATCAAACTGTAGGTTTATCAAACTAGGTTTATCAAACTGTAGGTTTCATCAAATTTACTAATTCATCAGCTTTATTTTCGACGCTAAAGATTGAAAACTACATTTTTCGCTCAGAATGTTCTCACAATTTTTTGACAATTATTTTGTTTTATCAGGAGCGCTAAAAAGTGCTCCTACAGATTTTAATAACAAAATAAGACAATAAGAATAGTCACATGGCAGACACGCGACACCTTCAACTATCAATTCTCTTCGTAATTAAAAGCAGAAGACAAACATAGATATAAATAATTAAACATTTGCGCCAAAGTTTGACGAAATCCACTTCTATTCAATTAAATTGTAAAAGTATGCACTGAAGGAAAATAACGTTTGTCTAAAGTAGATTGATGGATCGAAATCAACCCCAATGGTGACAAATCCCTTCCTATTTTATCAATTCAAAAAAGTTTAAATATTTCCGGAGGGTCTTGAAAATATTGGATTTTTGAAAATTATAAAATGAAAGAATTTTACCCCTGGTAATAACTAATTATTATTTAAGGATAGAGTGGAGTATTTCGCAGCTGGCTCTTTCATAGCATAAAATAATACATAATACAAGCACTCTTCTTAGAATACAGGGGTACAGATAGTCTTCTTAGAATACAGGGGTACAGATACTCTTCTTAGGATACAGGGGTACAAGGACTTTTCTTAGGATACAGGGATACAGATACTCTTCTTAGGATACAGGAGTACAAGGACTCTTCTTAGGATACAGGGATACAGATACTCTTCTTAGGATACAGGGGTACAAGGACTCTTCTTAGAATACAGGGATACAGATACTCTTCTTAGAATACAGGGATACAGATACTCTTCTTAGGATACAGGGGTACAGGGACTCTTCTTAGGATACAGGGGTACAGGGACTCTTCTTAGGATACAGGGATACAGGGACTCTTCTTAGAATACAGGGATGCAGATACTCTTCTTAGGATACAGGGGTACAGGGACTCTTCTTAGGATACAGGGATACAGGGACTCTTCTTAGGATACAGGGGTACAGATACTCTTCTTAGGATACAGGGGTACAGGGACTCTTCTTAGGATACAGGGATGCAGATACTCTTCTTAGGATACAGGAGTACAGGGACTCTTCTTAGGATACAGGGATACAGGGACTCTTCTTAGGATACAGGAGTACAGGGACTCTTCTTAGGATACAGGAGTACAGGGACTCTTCTTAGGATACAGGAGTATAGGGACTCTTCTTAGGATACAGGGATACAGGGACTCTTCTTAGGATACAGGGATACAGGAACTCTTCTTAGAATACAGGGATGCAAATACTCTTCTTAGGATACAGGGATACAGGAACTCTTCTTAGAATACAGGGATGCAAATACTCTTCTTAGGATACAGGGGTACAGGGACTCTTCTTAGGATACAGGGATGCAGATACTCTTCTTAGGATACAGGAGTACAGGGACTCTTCTTAGAATGCAGGGTACAGTTACTTTGCTTAGAATATAGGGATACAGGGACTTTGCTTAGAATACAGGGATACAGGATCTCCGCTTAGAATATAGGGATACAGGGACTTTGCTTAGAATACAGGGATACACAGGATCTCTTCTTAGAGTACAGGCATATAAGAGATCTTATTAGAATGCAGGAAATGCAGGGATACAGGATCTCCACTTAGAATACAAGGATACAGGATCTCCACTTACAATACAGGGATACAAGGACTCTTCTTATAGATTACAGGGATACCGAATCTCTTCTCAGAATACAGGGATACAGGATCTCCGCTAAGAATACTGGGATACAGGATCTCCGCTTAGAATACAGGGATACAGGATCTCCGCTTAGAATACAGGGATACAGGATCTCCACTTAGAATACAGGGATACAGGATCTCCGCTAAGAATACTGGGATACAGGATCTCCCCTTAGAATACAGGGATACAGGATCTCCGCTTAGAATATAGGGATACAGGATCTCCACTTAGAATACAGGGATACAGGATCTCCACTTAGAATACTGGGATACAGGATCCTTGCTTAGAATACAGGGATACAGGATCTCCGCTTAGAATACAGGGATATAGGATCTCCACTTAGAATACAGGGATACAGGATCTCCACTTAGAATACTTGGATACAGGATCTGCGCTTAGAATACAGGGATACAGGATCTTCGCTTAGAGTACAGGGATACAGGATCTCCACTTAGAATACAGGGATACATGATCTCTGCTTAGAATACAAGGATACAGGATCTCCGCTTAGAATACAGGGATACAGAATCTCCGCTAAGAATACAGGCTTACAAAAGCCTGCTAGAAAACAATATTTTTTTCCTAACTGAAAATTTACCTTTCCTATTTTTATCTTGAATTCTTTTTAATTCTGCAGAATACACTTGCGCATCTTACACTTGTTAACTAAATATAACATGAATTTTCTTCAAGGAGAAAATTAATTATTAACAATTGTGCAACCGAGTACTATCTCAAAACTTTGATATTAGAGATTTCAAAATATTAAAGGTGTAGGTTATTTTGGTAACATCAAAGGGAGTTTACTTTACCACGGGTTCCCAAGGCCAATTTTGCCTACAAAACATCCAGAGTGCATATATTTATGGTTTCCATCGGTTTGGTAACACAATATTTGGCAACAAAATAGCCAAGCCAAGGTTTCCGTTAGTTGGTAATAAATAATTTTAGTTTTAGTTATTAACAAAATATTCAACCAATGTTTCCATTGGTTGGTAAAAAATAATCAAGGTTTCAATTGGTTGGTAACAAAGTATTGAAGGTTTCTATTGGTTGGTAACAAGACAACCAATGTTTCCATTGGTTGGTAACAAAACGACCAAGTTTTTTATTGGTTGGTAACAAAACAACCAATGTTTCCAATGTTTGGTAACAAAACTACCAAGGTTTCCATTGGTTGGTAATAAAATATTTTTTAAGATTTGGGGTTTTTGTAACAAAATACAAGATTCTCAAAAAATACTATTTGCTGTTGCAAATATATTTTCCGAGTTAGTAATTTATCTGTTATACAAATTAAGAATACACTTGAACTATAAGTTAATTGTCCTGGCCGGGGTAGAAGGAAGAGTATAGTTGTTTTACAAACCTAGAATCATGAACATCGCCCTTCTACTTATCTTTCTGCCAGGTAGAGGTCCAACTAGGAGGGAGGAGGAGGGAGGGCGGTTGAGGGGGCGAGAAATTTGAAATTTAGCTGGCACAAACAGGATAGATAGTGAAAATAATTTTACATTGGATCTGATTCGGAATTATGCAATGATTTAATGATTGAATGGAATCAAAATTAGATGATTATCACAGTCCAAATGTGAAAAAAGATACCTTTTGGAATTTAATTTTGAAAAAATTAAAAATACTAAAAACTAAATTAATTTTAAAGGGAAACTTTTTTATGCTATTTTTTTGTTAGGCCTGATGGCTGAATCTGATGTTTGCTGTCCCAGAAAGACACTTACTGGTATGACGACTTTTCTCAATTTAATAGTTTTAGATATTTAGAAACATGTGTACAGGTGAGCCCAATTTAACCGTGGGAAGGGAAGACGACATTAAGGCCTATAAATGTGTATTTGATGTAGATGTAAATGAAGTAATTTTACCGATATCTTGTAAATTATGGCTCTGTGTACAGTGTACACTGCACCAAATAGATTATCAAGTACAATAGGTGGCAACAGAGAAATGAACCGATTATACACGACGTCACAAGTGTCAAATATGAGAAGGAAAACGAAACTTTCTCACATCAGTTGATATGTTTTCCAAGATTAAATAATAAGTACAATAGGTGGCAACAGAGAAATGAACCGATTATACACAACGTCACAAGTGTCAAATATGAGAAGAAAAACGAAACTTTCTCACATCAGTTTATATGTTTTCCAAGATTAAATAATAAGTGTAAAAAAAGAAACTAAATAAAACATAAAATTGCAGTTATTTCACTGTAAAATAAGCACTTTATTCTAAAATTATCACTATACTTGATAGTTTTGTCGGACACAAAAACTGAGTTGACACTTGTAACGTCAGAATACAGCTGTACTGAGAGTGCAAAAATTCTACGTTGCCATCTAATGTACTAGAATATATTTGCACTGCACATTAATGTATTTCGTGTTCAATGGACTTATTATAATCATAACCTGAGTTTAATACTCATCTTCCTATTCCATGGTTTTTGGGTCCAATTGTATAATTAACACTGTTACCAGGGAAGGGACCAGAATGGGATGGAGTCTACACCTTGAAGGTTAGAGTTTAAATTTCATCTAAAATTTAATATTGAAATAATGAAATAATCTTAAATTATTTTTGTTTTTAAATGACTCCAAAAAAAATTCATAAAAATCAGAAAATTCATGATTCAATGCAAACAAAATATAAAATCTTTTCAGAAAATTTACAACATTTTAGATTGTATTCAATGCTTTGCTTAATACGTAATACTATTTTTTCAAATCATAGGAAGAAGGAAATACTCCATACATGGCAGAATGCAAAGATAATTGCTTGTACTACAGGTAATCAATAATAAATGGAATTATAACTGTATAAGCAATAATTGTTACATTAAGTTGTCAATTGAATTTTTTCCAATGAAGTTCTGAGAAAAAATATATTTCTTAAAGAAAACAAAGCAAATCCATAAATTTTCTCCGAAGAACTTTGTGATTTAAGACAAGCATGTCTGTTAAATGTACAATAACCACTATTTTCTGAAAATTTTCAATATTTATTCCTGAAACAATCCAAAAACGAAAATAAAACGGCTGAACCGACCGAACCGGAAGATTTAAAATAACTATTAATGTGAAAAATGAAAATCAACCAATTTATGTAGGGCTGGGCAAAGTCCGTTAACAAAACGGAGTTTTTCGAAAATTAACGGTAGAGTCCGTTAATTAACGGAGAAAACTGTTAATTCCGTAATAACTGAAATTTTTCTTTTTTAACGGTGCCCAGCGTTGGAACTAACCGTTAACAAAACGTTTAGAAAAAGTTGGAACGTGCCCAGCCCTAAATTTAAGCAGATGAATCAGACAAAAATTGTTTTTCTGAAGAACTATGCAAAAATAGCAACTTGAGGAGCAACAATTAAAAGTTTGATTTGTTGCTAGAAAAAGAGGATCGAAGCGTCCTAAAATCCTATTTTTATCAATATATTTGTATACAGAGGAGACGATGAGGAGGATGTTTACTGCTTTAAATCTGTTACAAGGGAAATCCTTGGGTCAGGACTCCTTCAGTGTCAGGTAAACTTGGAATTAAAACAGTTTAAAACCAAAAATTTAACCGTTGTCGTCGTTTCAAGTGACCCTCCATCAAAAGAGTTGTTCGATTCACAATTGTACCCTTAACAGTTTCGTCTGATTAATACATGAATGTCATATCCATGTTTTCGTTTTTAAAAACTGTGTATTTTCTTTTGTGGTTTCTCCGGAAAAAGGGACTTGCGCACTTTCTTGCTTTAGAACACTTGTCATGCAAGAAAAACTACGTTTACTTCAACATAATTGATCAGATAATGGTTTTAAGGGTACCGTTTAGAATAGGACATGCTTGGATGGAGGACTGCAGAAAATTTGTTATAAATTGTTAAGTAAAATTATTAACCGGCGTAATAAATATATTTATTGCTTCTACCGTAAAAGTTTTATTTGGCGTTAAAAAACAAATCATATTTACAGGCTACTACAGTTGCCCCCTCAGGATCCATACCACCTACAGATACAATTGGTAACACAACCATACAGAATCCAACTCCTTTAGATTCAACAAACCAAACATCACTGGCATTGGAAACTACTCTACAAACATTAGAACCATTGGACACCACTGTTCAAACAATTAATCCATTGGACACCACTGTTCAAACAATTAATCCATTGGATACCACTGTTCAAACAATTAATCCATTGGACACAACTGTTCAATCCCTTGTACCAATGGATTCAACCGTTCAAACAGTTAATCCCCTTGAATCAACTGTTCAAACTCCTGTTCCTATAAAATCAACTGTTCAAACTCCTGATCCCTTGGATTCAACTGTTCAAACTCCTGTTCCTATGGATTCTACCGTTCAAAATCCTGCTCCTATAGAATCAACTATTCAAACTCCTGTTCCTATAGAATCAACTGTTCAAACTCCTGATCCCTTGGATTCAACTGTTCAAACTCCTGTTCCTATGGATTCTACCGTTCAAACTCCTGCTCCTATAGAATCAACTGTTCAAACTCCTGTTTCACTGGATATGACTGTTCAAATCTCTGTTCCTTTAAATATGAAATGGATGGAACCTGTTTCTCTAAATATAACCAAGCAAAAGGTTGTAGCGATGGATTTAGCCATGTTAAGCTCAGTTATCACCACCTCTATGATGTAGATTCTAAACATATTAAAATTAAAATAACATTTGTCAAAAATTAGAAAAATCTGGACAGAAATAAATGATATCATAATTTGTAATACATTTGGTATTGAAAGGGACTATAAGCGTAATTTCAAGTGAGTCTACATGCAAAGAGGGCAATGTCCGATTTACAATGGTACCCTTAAAGCTTTTGTGTGATCGTCGTGTACAGAGATATGAGTGTGTTAACTTATCGAACCCCTCTTGTATTCTAGTGTGTGCTGCTTATATTGTATTCTAGTGTGTGCTGCTTATATTGTATTCTAGTGTGTGCTGCTTATATTGTATTCTAGTGTGTGCTGCTTATATTGTATTCTATTGTGTGCTGCTTATAGTCTGAACTCAAAATGCTTACAAACCCTTTAAATCTAACCCCCAATAGTTTTATTTGTGTCCTGTAATGTTAATGTTACTTCTGTAATGTCAAATCAGGTGGTGGGAGGGATCAGCCCTGCCAACCTTACCTCGCCCTATCTCAATCATCAACTTTCATTAAAAGCTTTTCTCTACTGCTTAGAAAACAAAAACTCTTTGATATGAGAGATATCGATTGAATATCATGGATTAGGTACGAATAGATTTAATCTGCTTCTTTATATCAGTTTCCAAGGAGGATTGAATTTGAAATGTCGCATGTGTTCTTACTGCCCACTAATGCTTTTTTAAGCCCTAAAAATGTACTTTTCGACTATAAAGTAATTGGCAAACGTTTTGCTTTAGAGTTTGCAACCTTTAAAGTGGCTAAATCAGCACAGCAGCATCAAGAAAAACAATTGTATTCCAATAATTATCATTCTTCCAGGTTTGACGCTTTTAACAATTTTACTCAGTATTGATTAAACCTATTGGAAGTGTACATTCATTTTCTCTTTTTTGGCTTTCATTTCTATTTATGTATTTTTTCAATTGAGCAAATAGCATTCTTGATCTGAATCGAGATCCAGGAACGAAAACTAGAACCAAACACCGAGTTGGCAAAATATATTTTAAACGTTCCAGTTTGAGTTTTGTCTAGTCTATTTTGATATTGAGTTTTTAATGTTATGCAAAATTTACATTTTGTATTCTTTCTGTCGTTTCTGTAAATGATGTACTAAGATTTGAACATTTTAATCTAGAATTGCACAGAAGGAAAAATTCGCTATGTCACTGTATAATGTTATGGTCAAGACATGGGATAGAGTTTGGAACGAAGTTGATGTTAGCAGTGTACAATTCTTAGAATTTTTGGAGGATTTTTGGCGTTCTGTTAGCTTTGATTAGTATATACAACAACAGAAAAATAGGCAAAACGTTTAAAATAATCTAGTTTTTTTTAGAGATTCTTTTTTGTTGCATTATATAAAAAAGTCTGGAAAGTGTTTACATTAACTTATTTCATTGTTTGTGAGCAATCTATTGTGCTAAAGTTCTTTAAATAATTTCATTAAGTATTTTGAAAAAAGGTCGAAATTTTAAAACTTTAAAATTTTTGTATCAAATATCCTATTAACTGAACTTATATGAATGTATAAGGCATACTATTCACAGCACTTGTTCAGTCTAATTAAGTATAATTATTCTCTATGAAGCAAAAATTAAAACTACTCCAAATATTATATGAATACTCGAAAAAAAACATATATAAAATCAGAGGCTTAAAAATGATTAATATTATATTATTAATATGTAAATTCCCAATTTCTTAAAGAAATGTTCTTCTCTTTGTATATAATATTTGAAACGTTCAAAAGGTTTCCTGCTAAGCATGAAAGAGTCTTGTTCTTAGTTCAAAAGAAAACATAAAATGATAAAAAAGTTGAAAACTCTCGTTCAGATATTTTGAAGGTTAAGCTTGAGTAGTTGCACTAGCTATAACTTGTTGAACTACCTCTTTGTCTGTTAGAATCCTAGTACTCTCAGATTGATGTTAAATTTCTGGTTTTAGCAAAATATTCTCGCTTTTAGACTCTTTTATGATACATTCAACGTTAAAAATACCTCAATTGTAGGGCTGGGTGTTATACAAGAAAACTATAATTTCTTGGAAAAAAACTAACGCTTATTCATAAAACTTTCTTCAATATTAATTGAAAGATGAGCAAACTGTTTTGATTAGAAACATGATTTACTGTCGAAGACGACAAAAAGTTCTTTCTTAAAAAAACTGTGAAAAAAAGAAGTTCAACCTACGAAAACTTTTTTATCTTTTATTATCATCATTAAGCAATTGGAGTCATTAACATTATTGTTATAAGATAGTCGATCAAACATGTTATTGTCGAAAAATCATTGATGAACGATACAAATAATTAGCAAAAGCTGGAACGAAACTTTTTTGTTAAGTTAAACGATTTAGTAAGAACTCGTTGTTTTTTCATCTCAATTTTGTTTTAATTCTATAAATACTTTATTCCAAGAAGTACTTTGCTAAAGAAACCATGATTAGAACTGATCAATTTTTAGGTACAAAACCTGCACATATTTTCACCTTTTTTGATCAGACGAAACTATCAAGGTTATCGTTGTGAATCGGGTGTGTCCCTCTTCACTCGGAATGCCATTTATCTTACGACTGAGAAAAAGGTTTTAAATTTCAATAAAGTGCCCAGCCCTGCCAGCCCTGCTAGTCTTGCCTGTCAGACTCCAAGGCTGACACTTTAAAGATTTTTATTTTATTGTTAAAAAGATGAAATTGATAGAACGACGGGTTCTTTGTAAATCGACCTAGAGAGAGGGAAAAGAAGTATGAAAAACTGACCTTACTAATAACTTTAAAGTAGTTTCTACGAGAAGAAGAATTTTCTGTTTAAAATAAACATTACTCTTCGATCTTACAATACAGCTTACTTTATATTATATACATCTATATAAAACCATCCATGGTCTAACACAAAAAAAAGGTTTGCATCCGAACAAATTTGCTTTTCTCCCCCGGCCTTGGGCTTAAATCGAGACTAATGAGTTCTGATTTAGGTTAAAAAGTCGCACCGGTAATCCTGCATTAATCTAAACTTTTTACATACGTTCAGAAAATTTTTTAAAACCCAACTAAATGGGGTGTTAAATGCACTTTCATCTAACAAGTGGCATGAATAATTCACATTATTACCAGGGGCGTACTAGGGGGGGGATGCACGGCCCCACTACGCCTGCCCCCCTGAGGTGGGGGGGGGGCACGCATGTGGGGGGGCTTATTTAATATTACATCATACTTGCCTTTCCCTTCCTCAGGAAATCTACATTCTACATTGCATTGCATTGCATTCACCCAGACTAAAAGATTAAGAAAAGAAATCAATTATATTCTGATTCACAACAATACCCTTCAAAGCTTTGCCTGATCAAGTATTGCATTAAAAAACATTGCTTCTTATTTTCAAAATTGAATATTTTTATTTGTGGTTTATCTACACAAGTGACTTATGCATTTCTTGCTTCAGAAACGATGAAGAAATAAAGGTTTCAAAGGTACATCCATTTAAGTATAATTACATCATATAATAAAAATACTTTCAAATGTCACTTTTGCCCTTAACTAAAAAAGCTTTAATCAATTTTGCCTTCAGTGTAAATATATATTTGATATCATTATTCATAATACAATATGTATCAATCCTATGAAAATATATATATTTTTAAAAAAACGTTTCTAATATGAGTCTACTTAAGAAAATTACATAAATAATTTATTAACATTGTCATATATATGGAATATATCGAATAGTTTACCTGAACATAGTTAAAAAATGTATCAATATTTTTTCAAAAAAGGGGTTTTTAAGGGGGGGGGGGCACAATGTTGCCAAAGGGGGCACCAAATTATCACCCTTTGACTTACCAAGAATTTGTATTAGTTTTTCTCTTCATAAATTGATTTTTTGTGATTATGGTTTTTCTAAAAAAAAGACTTCACTGATTCTGCAGGAACGGTAAATGAAGGAAATTGTAAGACCTAAGCACGTTGAAGCTAGAAAAATGACGATATCTTCCGCATTTTTAAGCACGGGGTCACATGGTCTGAAAACAACAGTCCCATTTACATCATCTTCATTTTTGGTTGGATATTCGCCTGGGTTGTAAATAGGATTTTGTCCAAGAAAAGAGGGATGCATGGGGGGGGGCTTCATCTTTTTAGATATTTCATTAATAAAATCCGTCTATCCTAGTTCAGTTTGAAGAACCGTGTGTTTCAAAGTAATAATGTAGTGTTCCTGTTTTATTTGTGTTACATTGAAGTTTTAAAGGTTTGAATTAACTTTGCTTTAACGTAACAGAAGATATCATATAATCTTTGAAAATTAGACTGTCACGACTAAGTACAGGACCGGCATAAATGAAGCTCTCTGATTGGTTGCGATCGTTTATTATTGTACCGGCGCGGTATCTTCCAATACCGAGCTTACCCTACACGAAATCATAATTAAAATCAGGGAAAGACCAGTGAGCATTTATCATTAGCATTTAGCTGAGCAGTGAGCACGCACAGCAGTCAGCAGTCAGCAGTCATGTTTCGGTTGCGGAGTAGAGAAGACGTGTTAAAAATGGGCTCCAGGCTCCAGCTTAGTAAGCTGTTGGAGGATATAGTTCTAGTTGAGAAGGAGTGTTGGGCAGTACTCCATCTTGTTAGTGTGGAGATATTAAGAAATATAGATATATATCTGGAGTCTGGAGTACATATACTCCAACTCCCTGAATATGTTCAAGTTACAAGGAGTAATATACTACTCCATCCTACTGGAGATATATCCTTGGATGGATTAAATAAAGGAGATATATCAAGAATAGGAGATATATCTCTCCTGCCTCCAACCTGTAATATAAGGTTGGAGAATATGATTGGAGAGGATTGGCAGAGGGTTGGATTATACTCCCTTGCTAGAACTATGATCTCAAGTATACCCGGAGAGAATCTATCCACTGAAATAATGATGTTCTTCAAGAGTATTCTTAATCAAACCTTCTCCTATATCCCCAAGTTGTCGGATGTTATCATCTACCTGGAGAGAAAAGTTGGAGCTGAAGATGCGGTTAGGTTGGTTTCTAGTCTTTACTCCAGGTATCAGTCTATACAGGAGC